AACTAGTGGACGAAAATTTGGTATGTCGTACGTGTGTAAGACGGAGACAACAAACGCGTGGTCCTTAATACTTTTCTGATTAGGTCTGTGATCACGAAATGAAAGTCGATTACTGTTAATTTCCACCTGAAATTATGGTTTATCGATTTGAATTAACTTATTTTTAACCACCTAACGTATTTTTTCTGATGTATTTCGATTTCGTTCTTGAAATCGTGAATGATTGGTTAAGTGGTGTACAAATATTCATATACATCATTTTTAAATTCTACATACAATAAATTGTCCATATTTCATATATAAAATATGAATATTATTATTGATAGTATTATAGATCCTATTGTGAGTGTCATACTACTATTATAAGTAGATCACAAATGTACCTAAAAAAAGTTAATATAACATAAAAATATAATAAGTACTATTTAAAAAAAAAATTCAATTTGCATATGAAGGTACATACAACTATGATGATACCTAATAAGTAATTATGCTGTAACAATAATATCTTACTGATTTAATCAATGTACTTCATATTTTAGTAGTATTTGTAAATAGCTACAAAATCACTCATTTTTAATAAGTAAATTATATTTTCACGATTCATTGCTTACCATATACTCTTATGACGACTTAGACTATTATAGTATGACTAATATTGTCTATATGATAATACCTACCTATTTGAAATTCAAATAATATATAGAAAAGAAGGTCCATTCGAAATAGTGTAGACTATCGCTGAGTATATGGTGCTTTTTATGAATATGCGAATATGCGTGAATATAGATAATAATATTAAATAATATAAATATTACTTACAACTTACTATAGTGTTCGGTGTTATAATTATAAATATTATATATTACAATAAGAATCGTATTATACAATTATATCATATATTTTATTAACTATTCATTTTTATTGTGTTCTTTTATAGTATAATAGCAAATATACATTTTATCAAATGGAAATAGTAGTTAGTAGAGTCGTAGAAATAGAAAAGACACTCACATTGGCGTTGATTGTGGGGTGGAGGGAAAACATATTCAAAGACCCCCAAAATTGAAATTAAAATAGTAATTCATTTTTGTTTATATTGTTAACACATTGCCACACTCGGCATCTCAGGAATTTGTATGAATTATAAAGCTATAAATTAGTTTTAAATAGGTAACTCGAAATTTGATCTTGTAGTTATGTCTATAGGTGGATAATTGCAAACTACAAGTTGCAAAATCTAATATCACTTTCACGACCTCACAACAGTTTATTAAATATTAATTTGGATTTAAGATATTTTTACCAGGACTTACTTACTTAATATCATATTATTTGTACAATATATATATAAAAAAAAATGGGTAATTGTAACGACAATAAGATAAATAATTTTAAATTAAATGATTAATCAACGATAAAGAACAGACATAAAACTGTATAAGAATAATAATGCAATATCTGTATTTCTTATCATTGTTTTATATAATGAAATAAACATTACAAAATAATCTATAATATATAATATACAGGGTGTTCCAAATTTTGTGTGACAAAAGACAGATCTGTCCCGTAAGAACCAGTGTAATCCCCACCATTTTTGTCACCCGAAATTTGGAAGACCCTGTATAGTATATACGGTAACCTATTAATATTTAAAATTTTATTGGAGTATACCTACATAAATGTTAATATTTACCTGTTATCTAATATTCAAATGTTGAAATTACAAACAGTGAAGCCTTACCTAACCTAACCTAACCTAAAAAGTACGTACGCTTAGACCATAGATTTAACACGAAATATTAATAATATAATAGGAACCTATTTAAAGGTTAAATTTATAATTTTTTATCAAGCACTTTACTCATTTTTGCAGCACAGCCAAATATTTGTAGTTTGAAACTAATTCACGTATTAAAGTTATTTTAGAGAAAACATTTTGGGTTATCATATTTTATACTATTCGTACTAATAATCTAAAATATAAGTACATATGTTTTAATAATCCTATGTCCATAAGACCCGAATTTTTGACTGCCCCAAGATCAATACTTGGTAAATGAACATTTCTTTTCTAAATAAATATCTTACATTTTCTAAATGTTGTTTATCAATTCTTAAATAAATGAATAAATAAATAGAAACACAGTATACCTAATTTTGACATGACCATATTATGAGGTGTGAGATGTTGCAATTTAGGTACATCGTATTATACATACATACCTACTGTAGTATTACATATACACACGTTTGCATAAAATATGTTCTGTTGGTGAATACATATTATGTTACGCCGTAGTACTTAATATATACATTTACGAGCGCATCGAGATCCCTTAACGTTCCTTTCGACAGATTCTCATTAATAGTAGAAGGGATGACATTAAAATTATTCTACATAAAGATCAAATGAAATCTATGCAGCAGCCAGTATCTCAGTGAAAAAAATCGGGAGACACGTCGATCAATACTCACTTCGATATATTTTTCCATACAAACGAGTAAATACTTGCAATTCACACTTGTATGTACCTACAATGAGTTATTTGAACATCCGGTTATGATCCAATTTATTATTTTCTTTAATTTGGTTGTCAATCGGTGTCTGAAAATGATCTATACGGTAGCTATGTAGGCATTTTAAAAGCTTATATTAATTTATAACTTAATCATAGATTTAGTATTTAGCCACTTAAATTATAATAGGCTGGCCGATTAATAAGAGCCGGAAAATGACTTATGCAGTAACCACGAATGTAGGAACATTCAGAACCTAAAATAATTTATAGTTGAGTTCTTAAGCACTTTAAGTCAATAAGTAAGTTATAACCCTCAACAAAAATACAGAACCTATTTACATTATACAGTAAATAATAACTTCGATAAAAATCTTATAAAGTAACTCATATAAATGTAGTTCAGGTTACATCAATCATATAAAAATAACGTAGGAGAAAAGTACATCTCAATATATTATTATAGTTCAATAAGTGAATATTCACTATTGTGATTACATAAATTAATACAAATCGAATTACGTTAAACATATAGGTATCGATAAAAATGTCAATAACTTCGAGCACCGAATACGTCTGGGCAGCTGCGGATTGTGGCACACCAGGATACTCAGAAAGTTCCCGGTGGCCAATCCTCGTATTAAAACTCTGGGTCGATGTACTTGGATTACATATTATTTGATAATATTTAACTTCGTGTTTACGTTGTTTGTTATCATTTACTCGTATCACGATTTTGGATGTAATTTTGGCTGCATTACAAGAATTATTAATTATTATAATATATTGGGTGGGCTTGTCACACGATAATTTCCACACGAATTTTTTAGCTGGTTCGCCACTGTGACTCCGTGGAGACACATCCACGAATATGCCTACCGCCTTTATATTGAACAACACCTACTACATGAGCAAGGTGAAATAATTAAAATACATTCACATAACGTTTGAATGCAGGTACATTGTAGGCATTAGACACAAAATATAATGAACAGTAGTAGAATAATTCTACAATTTTTCATATTATGCACTCTATAGACTAGGTAGGTATTAATCTACTAACCTCTAAATAGCCCTAAATGACACCAAGACGTGTAAACACAATACATTCACAGTTTCACACCCATGTCTATCATATCATATTATAAAGTAGGTATACTAGTACTGTAGTAAGAAAATATTTATAATTTTTTTCTCTAATTTTACGATGCTAGAATATCTATAGCGTGTAGAGAATAGGTACTTATCACCCATTACTTCATGACACATATTTTCTTCGTAAAGTGTTTACTAGATATGTGCTTTTTTTCTTATAACTACTGCAGTTATGTTATGTTATTGCAACTAAGGTATACCAACATTTAACATATAAATGTAGTAAATTACTATACACCATTGATTAATGTGTTATTTAATATAAGTAAATAAATTAATATGTTATATAAACATAACAATTCACTTATTATTTAAATAGTTTATCTGTCAATACCATAACTTGCAAGTAGTGCTTGAATTGGAGGAGGCAAAGGGGGAGTATTTCTTAAAAAAAATAAATTTATATTCGAGCTTACTTCTTTAAATTATAATAATATCCTGATCAATAAAAACTATTATCAGAATATTTTAATGGTTATGCTATAGGGAATACTGCTATCATATAATAATGGTATTTTGCCATTTTCAATTAACTGATAAAGGGTGTAGCATTATTGTCCATAATACGATTTTAGTGCCAAAATCAAGTAAACAATCACCCAAATTACAACAATTACAAAAATAATAAAATGAAAAAATGAAAATAGTTATTAAGACTCGTATGTTATAAATTGAAACACATTTTTATTTAAAGGAAGCATTGTCAAAGACATCCCAAAAATACATGAAAAAGTCATTAAAGCCCAATCCTTATTTACTGTATAATAAACAACTAACAAATCAAACAACAATAGTATGTCTGTAATCTATATGATAGGTTAGTAAATATAAAATATGTATCGACCAAAATGTATGATACAATATTATGTGTAAATATGTTAAACTAATTAATTTATACATTTGTATAAATATATTAATTATAATATAATAATATTTAAATGTTTAAATAAATTATTTAGTTTCATTAAGTTTGAATTTGCATAAAAATAAAAATAATAAAATCAGAATTCCTAGAGTTTTGTAGTATAACAAAACCCACAGTTAATTTAAATACAGCATATTTCTCTCCAATTACAAATCCAACGCCATCGTCCATCGGCCACCGATGAACGGATGAACGTCACAGATGATCAGATGGGTAAACGTTTTCTGATACATTCTATGTTACTGGCCATTTCAATTTTACAAATATCATTTTTGTCTAGGTAAACCTTAAACATCTATTGCAGAGTATTCACTACTAAACTTTGTCATTTAACACATCGTTCACAAATTCAAATACAATAAAAAATTTAGTAATTATAAAACTTTAAATCGTCAATCATGCGTGAAATTTGTCACTTGCAAGCAGGTCAATGCGGAAATCAAATTGGTGCAAAAGTAATACACTTTAATATTAATCTAATATCTGACTTTTACATGATATAATATTCATAAATCCATGAACTAAATAGTTTATTACGGGAACATAAATTATATTATGATAGGTTATAATATGTATTATAATAGGTATCTATTACACTACAACGACGCATTTTTATATTTTTTTAGTTCTGGGAAGTCATATCCGATGAGCACGGTATCGATCCAACAGGGTCATATCACGGCGATTCTGATTTACAATTAGAACGCATCAACGTCTATTACACCGAAGCACTCGGTAATATGCATTATAAATCACATAATTATTAGGTACTATACAAAAAATATAATATTTTGAGTTTCGACTTAATTATCATAGAATGAGAACAATTGCAAAATTATTTTTACTCTATAATTTAATTATGGTTATTAAGATATCTAACTGGGGTCTGGAAGTAGACATTTATCTTGCATGTGTTTTGTAATATTTATAATCTGATAACGGTTCATTAAAATGTTATTTATCTTTTTTTATTGACTCATTATTTTAGTAATTTTTACGTCTAATAATATTAAGTACAGTATTATTATTTTCTATATTTTCTACACACGATGAAACGGCTTTTTCGATTTACTCATTGAATTAACCAGGAGAGGCGTAAATTAATGAATTAAATATATAATTTACATACGAGATATTTTCTTATTTTATTCAACTAACATTTGCATTATATATTTATTCGCATTGACTGATGGTTTAATTTAATCAGTTTATTTACTAACTGTACTACTGTAGTTAATTAAACACATTTATAGTTGTTGTATTTTAGTTTAATATTAATTCCGTGCAAACATTTATTTAATGTAATTTAATTTAGATATTTTTTTTGAAAATCATTCTAATGTATTTGAACCGAAAACATAGTTGGGCGCCTGCATATATAAAAGCTTATTAAATAATAATCATCAATAATTGTTAAAATATTAGCTTTGAAGTTGAAGTTTCTTCAGTGCAAGCATTCGTTATTTAGTCTTTTTTACTACATAGGCATATAGCTATAACATTTACTTATTAATAGTTATTATCCATTGTAATATTATATTGTAACAGATTCTGAAATTATATATCAAATTCAAAATAAGATATTATATTAGTAATAAGTTATAACTATAATTATTTTTATTACAAACTTCAATACAGAACAATAATTTTAATCTGCAACACTGTTTAAATAAAATACATTTTAAATATTTAAAAAAAACAAAGCATGATATTATAACAAATATATTAAATAGTAGTTAGTTCTTAGTATACTTATACAACTAACATAGTATTGACATAGTGAGGATTTTATAATGTTAAAATTCTAACTTCTAAGCATATCACTACAATATTGTAAAAATTACTTAATTATTGTTAGTAGGTACCTAGCCTATATAATATTTAATATTATTTAATCGACAAGCCACCTAATTTAATTGATTTCAAATAATTTTTTACTAATTATTCCAATGTTTTTCAAAAGGTGTGCCGCGATATCTGCGTATTCACGTATGTGTTACCAGTTCTAAAGTACCTACTTAGTACTTATTTTTGCCAAAAAGATAATATTAAAAATTGGGATGCTACATATAAATATATAATAATTAATAACTAATAATAATGTACCGTGATGGAAAAAAAAGTTTGGGAATTACTGGTATATGGTATTATAGTCATTAATAAATTACTTTTGTGAGTAAAATCATTGTAAAATCAAACAATATAATTCAGTGACAATAGTTACATATTTATGTTGTTTTTTGTATTTTTTGTATTATTTCTGTCGTTTTTGGTAAATAAGTAATATAAATAGGTATAACATCACGTGTAGATTTAAATTAATTTTTTTCAAAATGTTTATTTGATTTATTTAAATTATGTTTTAAAATATTTTTAATTATAATTTAATAAATAGTTATTATATTTAGTAGTTAAAAATTTAGTAATGTAATAGTTATTTAGGTAACAATAACTTTTAAGTTTTAACAGATGTGACTAAAGATTTTGATGCAGTGAAGTGGTAAAATTTGTCAATTAATTTTACTGCTTATCCTATGTTCACTTTGTCTTAGTTATTTTAAAATAAACTTTTTTCTTTGAGAGTTAATGATTAAAAACTTAAATGTGTAGATTAAAATAATAAAATATAATATAATATAACATAAAATAAAATAAATAGTAAAAATAATAATTGGTATGTATGTATATTATTGCTAATTTTGAATAAATCTAAATTGTAGTGCATTTGATAATTGTGTATATATTTGTTTATATTTTCTATAAAACTTGATGAAACATTTTAAAATTAAAAGAAAAACAATTTTATAACGATTTGTTATATTAACATATATTAGGCGGCAAGTATGTTCCTCGAGCAGTTCTTGTGGATTTGGAACCCGGTACCATGGACTCTGTCAGGTCAGGCCCATTTGGTCAATTATTTCGACCGGATAATTTTGTTTTTGGACAATCCGGAGCAGGCAATAATTGGGCCAAAGGACATTACACAGAAGGCGCTGAGCTAGTAGATTCAGTGCTCGACGTAGTTAGGTATAGTAACGTTGAAAAGCGTTACGTTTAACTTCAATAATGTCCAATTGAATCTTAACTAATATTAAAAATGAACTTAAAAAAAAAATGTAAAAAATTTTAATTTAGGAAAGAAGCAGAGAGTTGCGACTGTCTACAAGGATTCCAATTGACCCATTCGTTGGGTGGTGGAACTGGATCTGGTATGGGCACACTTTTGATATCGAAAATTCGCGAAGAATATCCAGACCGTATTATGACCACATACAGTGTCGTACCTTCACCAAAGGTAACTTAGCTTATGATCGATCTATTTGTATCCATTTTTATACTGTATGCTGTGCATTACAGTAGACAAGAACTCGGACATATTCTGAACTTTATTTAGTATTTACCAATTAACATTATTAGCTATTACTTATTACCAATTATGTTTGTAGCATGTGAGTGACCTTGTTGTTTTTTATAAATAATGCTTTATTTAATTATAATTATTTTCTATAGGCAATACTTATTTTGTGGTTTTTTATTTTGTAGACATTTTTACAGACTATAGTACTGTTCAAACTTGATAACCATAATCTGTATTACAAAAATAACTATTGTATTGACATATTATTATTCATTTAATGCCTCGTTATCGATTTGATCAATATTCAAATTGTAAAGTAGAATTATTGAAGAAACTATAATAGTATTAATTTATTATGAACTTCAATTATTTATATTTAAAAACCTAATACATTAAAAAGCATATCATGTTGTTTTTTCAATGGATTATGTTTATCTGACTTGAACAGTTAAGCTTTAAAATGAGAATTGCGAGTTTATCTGTATGCGTTGAATAGAGATAACGGACTTGACGAAAATATCGTCCAAAGCAGGCATGTCAAACACGCCCCCCGACTCATTTTTTAAGGTCCACGGATAGCAGTTATAAAAAAAAATTAATTGAAAAAAATTATACAATTTTCCTTTCGTATCACAAAGATGTTAGTGAAAGCCTAGAGGTATACAATATTATGTTACTGTTCTATTCTTTATCATTAAATAAACTATAATTGAATAAGTATTGTACCTGTATAGTATTGTACGTAATAAATACTATTAAAAAATTGCATAAAATGTTTTTTTTTCAAGATATTTGTTATTTGTATGTGCGACCAGCATAGTAAACTATCCAACATATTTAGCGCAGTCAATATTTTGAGTTTGACATGCTTGTTCTATAGAATGATGTACCTATGAAAGTTGTTTGCTCTCCTACCCTCCCCTACACAATTCCAAACAAAAAATCGAGTCATATCGCCCGTAACTAATTGGTCGGTTCCTTATTTTCTTTTGCTCACAGGTATCCGACACGGTCGTAGAGCCATACAATTCTACACTGTCGGTGCACCAGCTAGTGGAGAACACGGACGAGACTTTTTGCATCGACAACGAGGCACTGTACGATATCTGCTTCCGGACGCTGAAGCTCACAACGCCCACGTACGGCGATCTGAATCACCTGGTGTCGGCGGCCATGTGTGGCGTGACCACTTGCTTCCGGTTCCCCGGGCAGCTCAACTCGGATCTCCGGAAGCTGGCCGTCAACATGGTGCCGTTCCCGCGTCTGCACTTCTTCATCACCGGCTTCGCGCCGCTGACGTCCCGAGGCAGCCAACAGTACCGTGCCCTCACCGTGCCCGAACTGGTCCAGCAGATGTTCGACGCGAAGAACATGATGGCCGCGTGTGACCCCCGACACGGCCGGTACCTGACCGCCGCCAGCATATTCCGGGGCCGCATGTCCATGAAGGAGGTGGACGAGCAGATGCTCAACGTGCAGACCAAGAACTCCAGCTACTTCGTCGAGTGGATACCCAACAACACCAAGACAGCCGTGTGTGACATACCACCCAGGGGCCTAAAGATGTCGGCCACGTTTATCGGCAACACGACCGCCATCCAGGAGATGTTCAAGCGCGTGTCCGAACAGTTCACGTCTATGTTCCGGCGCAAGGCGTTTTTGCATTGGTACACCGGTGAAGGCATGGACGAGATGGAGTTCACCGAGGCCGAGTCCAACATGAATGACCTGGTGTCTGAGTACCAACAGTACCAGGAGGCAACCGTTGACGAGAACGGCGACGAGGACGAGGACGAAGATGCCGACGCGTAGTCCGGCCTAATTCCATGAGACAGATTAGAGGCTATAATTTTTACACGTTTGTTGTATTTTTTTTATTACCAAATTTAAATTATAACGACTTAACAAAATAAAAAATCATTCCATTACGATCGATATATTGTTTTAATATTGAAGATACCTTATTAATACCACTTAATTTACAAACAAATTTAAGTATCGTTGGGTGTTCGATTAACAATCGTTCTGGCCGTTCATTTAATGATGGAATGATATGAGATTTAATTAATAATGAATAATAACATACTTCTGTTACGGAGTTTAAAAATTATTATAAATAATCAAGTCAAAAAATAGTGGAAAATGACTATACAAATCGTATATTAGTCAGCCCCTTCCCCCAGAAAATAAAATTATACAAGTGTTATGAAACCGTGGTTCCAACACAAATAAATTTAACGCACGATTAGTTATTAATAATATAGATTTTATTACTGGTTGTTAAATTCACTAAATGTACATAAGTATAAAAAAGGCTCTGGTTAACATACGTTATGTATAATGCTCTGTTCTAAACACGACTGACTAACCTCCTCCCTGTGTGTCGGCCTGCGACCCAGCCGGACGCC